TTTTTGTTTTCTTCTCTCTCTCTCTCTCTCTCTCTCTCTCTCTCTCTCTCTCTTCGTGAAACGATAGTAACATTTGAACAGAGTTCAATGAGCACATCGAAATTTGCCGATCCTTCTTTTCCAGCAGTTCTAAGCGCGTCTTCCTCCCTACGAACTTGATATTACCGCTAACATTCCGTATACATATCGTACATTTAATGTGCTGAATGCGCGATGCGTACACGTAAAAATAACTTAAGTGCTAGGTGCAGCAATTGTAACCGCGGTACAGTTTCCCAAATTCAGTTCTCGAGGCTGTAAATACGTGAAAACGACGCGAAAAAATGCGTCGTTATGCGCTTATAGCGCATCGAAAATTAAGTCCGACAAAGTTACATAAGTCTTACAAAGTTAAGTTAACAATACATTACGGACTCGAATTTTCATTTTTTGCGGCAACTTTTCCGTCAATAATGTTTCACCGATACGGATGTCACTTTTTGTCTTTATCTTCAGAAATTTCGTTACACTTTGAAAATATTTATCACATTTCGGAACGTTGAGCGAATTTTTATTCATTGTAAAACATGAGAAGTGTCAATCAACAATTAAACTTCTGCTACCTATTGCACATAATAGTCATCGTCGTCGAAATATCAGAATACCAGAACTCGCGCCGAGTCCCAACCACAAATGCTATTACCTACATTGAATACGATTCAATAAATAGAAATAAATATATAAATGTGTAATCGACGTGGCAAAAAAACTCGGCGGTCGATGCGAAAGGACGTAAACGTATATGTAACTCTCGTAACGAAAAGTGGTAATCGAACAAATTACATTACATTAGACAGAATTTCATTGGACAAAATACATATTGATAGATCGAATTTATCGAGCGGAAAAGCTTTTAAATTTGCCTTCCCGAAACTTACTCTTTTTCGAAAGAAACATTTACAGGATTGGAGCATCGAGCATGCTTGATTTCATTGGAAAGTCACAAAATGAATCAAAATGAATCTGCATTACGGCATTATATGGCGCGTACACGGAGACCGAATTATCGAGGAAACGATCGCTCGTAAGTTCGAGCCGAGTTGATGAGCTGATTCGAGATTCGATGCGAATCCCGGCTCGGTGCACATCCACGAATACCGTCGATCAAACCTACACTTCGGTGTTTCTAGCATGACCTAGACACGTGGGACGTCGGAAACCCCATTGGGAAATGTTTGGTGATTTCGCCCGAACGCGAAATTGACAATAAGCAGCGATCGAATGTACGAACGCACAACTTTAGGAGAGGAAGTCTGACGAAGTCTGACGTTGTCAAGCGTTCCTCGGATAATTTTACATCATAGAAAATTTTATGTTATTATTCATGTTTTCTTGTAATAATATAAGTCCAATAGGAGCCCGATTTTCATTATTGTTCTCTACAGCCTCGGAAGACAAAGCACGGATTATGGAAGAAGGGCTGCGAGTAAATGTTCAGTTCGGCAAAGAGAGATTCAGAAATCCCGCGGAATCTAAGCCATGTTCGATAGAACGCTGCGAACGTGTGAACTCGTTCATACAGCGTTGCAGTCCATAAAGAGAGTTCTGCAGTCCTCGCCCGTGCGACCGCGTCGTCCTGCCTCGTACAAGGCCTCGAAGCCGACGCCGCTCTGCCTCTGCAGGAGATAGCTCGTCGCGTACCTGGAGGAAGTCAAATCCGACCTTTGACTACTTTTGACTCGGATCCAAGTCGAAATACTGTACTATAATTTTTCGATAGAAGTATGACACGCAAAGGTGACTAAGCTAGTCACTTCTTCGTCAGATAGATAGAAGCACCATGGTAAGTTTTAAATTTGTATATTATTAACATCGACACGCTTAATTAATTTAATTTAATTCAGTTTCTGAGAATTCGTGAATGTGTAAAATATCAGTTCAACAAAAAAAAAAGAAAAATTATTGGACACGAAGATTCTATCTTTCGAGCAATGCTATTATTATCCTGTTATTGTAATTTAACTTATTTATGTATGTGCTATCTTCGATAAATATTCGAGATACATTTGGCATGCGAAAAAGAAATAAATATTGATGATACTTACGATCCAAGTTGGCAGAAGATCGACGATGGACCTTGCGTATCAGCGATACACTCGGCGCTGGCCTCGCAAAGAGCCCTCTCGGCGCATCCACGTTGTCCCTCCTCCTCAGCACGACCTACGTAGCTGAAGGACTTGACGGATCTCATGTAGCCCTGTAACGGATCAAATTTTAGTTTAGAAT